CTCCCCCTCGCGAAGCTCTTCTGCCAGCGGCGCTCCCAGTACTACTTCTGGGACAGCAGCGGGGCTTGCCACCGGCTCCGCTCCACTGACGGGGTGGGCCAGGGGGACCCCCTGGCGCCGCTGCCGTTCGCTTGCGGCATGCGCCCGCGCCTGCAGGCGCTGGAGGACGCGCTGCGCGCGGAGGCGACAGCCCGGGGGCTGCGGGCCGACGACATCCGTGTCTTGGCCTACCTGGACGACGTGATCGTTCTCACGCCTCCCGAGCTGGCCGCAGCCGTCACTCCGGCCGCGCAAGACGCCCTGGGCGCTTTCGGCCTTGAGCTTCAGCCGCACAAGACGCAGGCCTGGTCACCGCGCTCGCCGTGTCCGGCCGGGCTCGAAGCGCAGTGGCGCCCGCGCGGCCTCACGCTGGTGGGAGTCCCGCTGGGTGAGCCGCTGCCGCCGGGGAACCTGCCGGGCGCGACAGACGGGCGCCGCCTGGACCTGGGGGCGCCTGCCTACGCCGCCGAACGCTGCGCTGAGACGGCGGCGCGCGCGGCGACGCTGCTGGAGAGGCTGGCGGAGCTGCCTGGGCTGGCCTCGCCGCACCTGCCGGCGGCACAAGCGGCGGGACTCCTCCTGCGACACTGCGGCACGGGGAAGCTGGTGCACCTGCCCCGCACGAACCCGCCGGCCGCCGCGCGGGCCGCCGCCGCCGCCTACGACGCAGCCGCGCTGGAGGCCTACCAGGAACTCGCGCGCCTGGACCCCCTGACGGCGGAGCAGGGCGCCCACTGCCGGCTGCCGCTGCGACTCGGAGGGCGCGGCTTTCGGAGCCAGGAAGCGCTCGCCCCCGCGGCCTGGGCGGGCTCCTGGGCTCAGAGCTTGCCGGGCGTCCTGGAGAGGAGCGGCCTGCCCGCCCTGGCCGACCTGGGCGCCTCTACCCTGCCGCTGGCCGAGGCCTGCCGGGAGGCGCTGGCCTCGCTGCCGGGGCCGCCCGCCGACGACGAGGAGGACGCCGCGCCGCTGCCGCCCTGGCGGGAGCTCGCCCAGGCTCCTCGGGAGAAAACCCAGAAACTGCTCACGCGTAGGCTAGACAAAAGGAACTACAACGCCTTGCTGAGCACTCTGGGCCCCGAGGACCGGGCGCGACTCCGCTCCTGCGGCGGCGCGCGCGCAGCCGGCTGGCAGCTGGCGAACGCCGGGCCCTACCAGCGCCTCGAGGACGACACGGCGCGGGCGCTGCTGGGGCAGGACCTCGCGCCGCCGAACAGCCGCTGCTGGAACAGGCTGCGGACGGGCGCGCGGGCTGGGCAGCCCTGCGGCCAGCCCCTCTGCTGCAAGGCGCGCCACGCCTTCCGGCGCGCCTGCGGCGGGGGCACAAAGGCGCGCAGCCGCGACGTCGAAGACGTCTGGGAGCGCATTCACGCTGAGTGCGGCTTCCAGACGGCGCGCCAGGTGCGCGTCCCGGCTTGGGACCGCTGGCGCTGGGCTTGCCCGGCGCCCGGCTGCACGGCGCGCGGCTGGCGCTGGGACGCCTCGCCGCCGGGGCCCTGCAGGGCTTGCGGGGCTGCGCTCGAGACGCGCCGCGAGGAGGCCTTGCTGGACCTGGGCGCCCAGCGCGCTGGCTGCCCGCGGCTGCTGGTGGACGTGACTGTCCGCTACAGCGTCCCGGGCGAGGGGCGCGCCCTGGCCGCCGCGGCGGACGCCGACGGCGCCGTGGCCCGGGAGGGCGAGGGGGACAAGCGGGCGCGCTACCCGGCCGGCCGCGCGCCCTGGAGGGTGCTGCCGCTGGCGCTGGAGACAGCGGGGCGCCACGGGCCGGCCGCCCTGAAGCACCTGCGGTGGCTGGCCCGCAGCCGCGCGCAGCTGCTGGGCGACAGCCCCGAAGCCGACGCGGCGGCCAGCGCCCTCGCCGCGCGCTGGGGCGCGGAGCTGAGTGTCGCCCTGCACCGCGCAACGGCGCGCCAGCTCCAAACAGCGCTGGGCGAGGACCGGGCAGGCGGGGCGGCGGCGCTCCGGGCGGCGGGGGCCGCCTAGCTGGCCGGCGGCGCGACGCGGCGCACTACCAGTTCGTCGCGTTCTCGGCCAAGTCCATAGTGTCGGGGGCGGCTGCCGGGCGGCGGAACAGACCCGCGCTTCCGCCGCAGGAGGAGGAGGAGGAGGAGGAGGAGGAGGAGGAGGAGGAGGAGGAGGAGGAGCACGCGAGGAGGAGGAGGAAGAGGAGGAGGAGGAGGAGGAGGAGGAGGAGGAGGAGCAGGAGGAGCAGGAGGAGGAGGAGGAGGACCGCGGCGAAAGGAGAGGAGGAGAAACGGAGGACATGGAGGAGGAGGAGCAGGAGGAGGAGGAGGAGGGCTAATGATAAAACTACACAGAGTATGCGTACCGAGAGAGATGTAGCGTCTACCACGAACAGAAAGACTGCGACCGAACAGACCAACACGACCAATAACAGTACGAACAACACGAGCAGTACTAATAGTATTAACGGTGCGACGAACACGTCTATTACTACTAGTACGAATATCTGCATACGAGTATACATAATAATGCTAGGGGTACTTATACTACTACTACTACTACTACTACTACTACTGCTACTACTACTACTACTACTACTACTGCTAGTACTAGTACTAGTACTAGTACTAGTACTAGTACTAGTAACTGCTACATACACTACTACTACTTCTGCTTGATCTATAATACTACTACTACAACAACAAACTACTCTAACTACTCTACTACTACTACGGTATACCCGTAAGGATTCTTGTAGTACTATACTACTTATGTGACGGTACTGCTGATCGCTTTTTTTTTTTTTTTTTTTTTTTTTCTTGTTTTATTTTATTTTTTTTTTTTTTTTTATGAGTCTTTTTTTTTCTTTTACCTTTTTTTTTTTATTTTTTTTTTTTTTTTTGTTTTTTTTTTTGTTTTTTTTTTTTTTTTTTTTTTACCTTTTTTTTTTTACTACTGCTACTACTAATTACTACTATTGTGCGAGCTGTTTTTTTTTTTTTTTTTTTTTTTTTGTTTTTTATTCTTTTACTTACTACGACTGCTACTACTACTACTACTACTACTACTACTACTACTACTACTACTACTACTATTAGTACTACTACTACTACTACTACTACTACTACTAGTAGTAGTAGTACTACTACTACTACTACTACTACCACGGGTAACATAGCTGATGCTATCATCATTACACGTAATACGACTAATCATATTAATAATGATGCCACGAATGAAGATAGTTTTACTGATAAGCATCGCAATGCCATTCAGCATACGAGCCTAACTAATATCAAGAGTAAGAAGGCGAATGCTACGAAGCATACTAAGACTAGCCTCCTCCTCCTCCTGCTCATCCTCTTCCTCCTCCTACTGCTCCTCCTCCTCCTATTCCTCGTCCTCCTCGTCCTGCTCCTCGCGTCCTCTTTTTCCCTTCTCCTCCTCTTCCTCCTCCTCCTCCTGTTCCTCCTCCTCCTCCCTCCCTCCCTCCCTCCTTCGCGCCCTCCCTCCCGAGGCAGGAGGCAGGAGGCAGGAGGCAGGAGGGAGGAGGGAGCAAGGAGGAGGGCGGAGGATGATGATGCTGATGATGATGAGGAGGAGGAGGAGGAGGAGGATGCGAGGAGGAGGAGGAAGAGGAGGAGGAAGAGGAGGACGAGGAGGAGGACGCGTGGAACAGGAGGAGAGGGAGGAACAGGAGGATATGGAGGAGGAGGAGCATGAGGAGGAGCAGGAGGAGGAGGAGGAGAACTAAGAAACATAAGCAGAGTATGCGCACTGCGAGAGATGTGACGTCTACCACGAACAAGAAGAACGCGATCAAACATACCAACACGAATACTAGCACCACGAACACCATTACCACCACTATGCTTACTAACGGTACGGCGAGCACGAATATTTTTACTCGTACGAATATTCGTATATAGTACGAATAATAGTGCTAGGGATACGACTAGTACTAGTACTAGTACTAGTACTAGTACTAGTACTAGTACTAGTACTAGTACTAGTACTACTACTACTACTACGACTACTACTACTACGACGGGTAACCGTAACATTAGTAGTGCTATTCCTGAATATGTTGACGGTACTACTACTACTACCACTATTACTGCTACTACTACTAACATTGCTCATGCTATCACCATTACACATAATACGACATATCATCTCAGTAATGCTTCCACGAAAAGAATACAGTTTTACTGATAAGCACCGCAATGCTATTCAGCATGCTAACCTAACTAATACCGAGAGTAAGTAGACGCCTGATACGAACCATAATAAGACTAACCATCAAATTGATACACAGGCAACGAATAACACTGGTATTAATAATTCAGTAGCAGTGTGTAGAACAATGCTAGTAATGGCACGACTGGGAAGAAAACGAATGATGCGACTAACAATAATACTACTACGGATAAGCCTAAGAACACTAATATTAATACGGGAACTAATAGTATTATTACGATTCATAAAACAAACTAATAATTCTAACAATGCGGGTGCTACTAATAATACTACAAATGATAATTGGACGAAGAAGTGGAATCTGAGAATGATGATGATGAGTAGGAGGGGTAGGGCGAGGGGGAGGAGGAGGAACAACAGGAGGAGGAGGAGGAGGAACAGGAGCAGGAGGAAGAGGAGGAAGAGGAGGAGGAGGACGCGGGGAGGAGGACGCGAGAAGGAGGCAGAGGAGTCGTCATCGTCGTCGTCGGAGGAGGAGGAGAAGGAGGAGGAGGAGGAGGAGGACGCTTTGAGCAGGAGGAGGAAGAGGACGAGGAGGAGGAACAGGAGAAAAAGGATGAGGAACAGGAGGAGGAGGTGGAGGAGGAAGCAGGGAGGAGGAGGTGGACGCGAGGAGGAGTGCGAGGAGGGGGAGGGGGACGACGAGGACACGAGGATGGGCAGGGACGCGCGCGGGGCCCCTTCGCCGCACGAGAGCTGCCGCCGCCACGCCGGCGGACCTCCCCGCCGCGCGCCGCCAGGCCCGTCGGAGCGGCGAGCTGGCGTGGGCGTGGCCCGGCGGCCGCGTGCAGGCGCCCGCGGCCGCGGGCCCTTCTCGGGGCAGAGAACAAACGACGCCACCTCGGCTTATCGTTCAGCCGGGCCGGTTCCTCAGTGCAGCGTATGCCGCGAAGTTGGGCGTCGGTTCTCGCGTGGTGTGCGCCGTGGCCCGCGAGGGGCCGCAGCGCAGCATGGAGGGCCGCAGGCGGGGCAGTGTCGCTTGTTTTCTGGTCGACTTCCTGCACTGCGCTCGCGCGGCACTGCCAGTGATTCTCCCAGTTCCACGTCGACTGCTCGGCGCCACAAACAATGTTCTGAGAACCTTTTGCGGTTTACACGAAATGTTCTTAGAACAGTTCTGGCGGAGCCTGTCTTGTTGTATCACATCGGGTTTATGTTCTAAGAACATGGTTTTTGTTCTTAGAACATTGTTGGGTTCTAGGAACATTTCGCGGTAGGACTATAGGAATGCCGGGACGGTCGGTCCCTGCTCAACTCTGGTCGCTTCTGTGTCTAGGCCTTCCACTGGCGGCCGAAGGACGGTAAAACACACTTTTCCGCCGTCGGGGGCGCCTGCTCCCCGAGCAGGGGAGCTTTCCTCTGTCTTCGGCCTCTGCTGGGGGCCCTCGCCGTGCCCAAGGGGCTTGTAAGACGCGGCCCTGGGAGCGAGAAGCGGGCCCTCTCTGGGGCGGGGTCGGGGCCCCAGGGGGCTCCGTGCTGGAATGCTCCGCGAGGGCCTCCACGTCATGGCCTCTCACGTGGCTGACCGACTTCGGCGCGCCCGTGAAGAACTGCATGTCCTGACCGGCCTCCTCCTGCTACGCCCCATCTGGTCCTCCCGCGCCTCCCTGCCTCCAATTCGCTTGGGCGCGCCCCGCCGTTTGCTCGGCCACCGACGCCCTGCGCGCCTGCGCCCCGCGGACCCCCAAGGAAGTGTTGGAAGACTCGGGGCATCGGTTCGTTTTGTTGTTCTTTGTTGCAACAAAGCATCTTCTCGCAACCACGCAAGGATAATACATCCTCGGGTCTGCAGTCGCCGGATTACAGAAGCAAGTGGAAAGAGAGGCTAAGACACATCATGTGTAGCATTCGTATACATGTGGTTCACCACGGCGGCGTGGGCTTGAGGTTTTCCTGGGCTCCCCGATCAGAGAGGCTCCGGCTGCGATTCCTCATGGCGTGGCAACCGTTTCGCGCCTTCGGCTCTCAGGGCTCGGTGCTTCGAGAGAATCGATGCGCGCCCAGTTTCATGCCCAGTAGCCTCAGGTCGGGCCTGTCCCTCTACAGGTGGGAATATTCAAAAATAGTGAAAAAAACATGGTCGGGGGACTATTTTTGGGTATTTCTGAGCATTTCGGGGGTATTTCTAGACTATTTGTTACATTTTTGTCCAAGCTCCTCCTTTAGGGGACATTTTCGACCTGACAGTAGGCCGAGCAGGCCCTCGGTGCCCTCGGTTCCGAGTGCCACGACCGGGTTCTGAAGGCCGAGGGCGGAGGCGCTGCTGTCATTATGCTGCGTGATTCTGCCCTCTCCCCCACGCTCGCGCCCCTGGGCGGGCACTGCGTGCTCGTGCTCCGCGGCCGCGCTCCTATGGAGGGGCCCTGGGGCACACAAATAAATAGACACAAATAAAAATATTCCCCATACTTTATCATATTTTCTGGGTTTTGTCTTCCCGCCCAATTCCCATATTTTCCCATATTTTCTGGGGGGCCGACGATTAATTGTGCGCCCAATCGGTCGATATCTCTGGGCCCCCCCGCCAGGGCCGCAGGGGTCCATCGCGCCTCGCGTCGCGGCCTCCGCCGGAGCGCTGCCCTCCCCCAGGGGGGCCTCCGCGAGACTGCGACGGTACACGCGCGCGCCGCGCTCCGCGGGGGCGCCGCGGCGGGACACGGGGACAGCTGGGTGGGCTTCGGCCCCTGCTGGCCAGCTTCGGGCCCCGCCCGGAGATCCTCGCGTCGTGTGGAGAGTCTGACGCCCGGGCGGAGTTTTGGCCGCCTCGTGCCTCCCGAGGGCCTTCGCCGGGCCCGTGGGCTCTCGCGACTCTGCAAAGTGTGCGGTTGCGCCGGGGCGTGGTTCGCGATGGGCGCCGTTGGGGCCTGAGGGGGCACGACGCTGTCCTCGTCGGGCCTCCTCAGGGCGCGGCGGAGGACTCTATCGAGGTCCTCGCCCGCCGGTGCCGGTTGCAAGCCACGCCCTCTGCAAACCGCACCCTACGGAGTCGCAGAGAGATGCCGGCCCCCGGGGAGGGGTCCAGACCTCTGGCGAGCCACGTGGTGCAAAAACACGACGTCGTTGACGTCTGGGCGGATGCTGGGTCGTCGGGTTTGGGTGGCTCTCCGAGGATTTCTCGGGCTTCTGGGTTGTGTGAGGTCTCCAGGCCGTGCGGTGGCGTACCGTGCGGTAAGGTCTGCGGTGGGGACTTGGCGGTCACTGCACGGTCTGTCGCCGCGCCGTGTTTCTTGGGGCCCACAGGGCACATGAGGAGCGCCAGGGGAGTGGGAGGAGGGGGAGGGAGGGGCCAACCGTGCTAAAATTGGTTCAATGCTCGGGTATAGCCAGGACCCCAGGTCAGGGGACCCGGTTAGTAGTCGGGCCTCGTAGCCACTAAATGGGCCAGAACCACTAAACCGGGTCTGCCGTAGCTGGTGTTTTTTCGGGTGACGGCAGTTCCGGTTAGTGGAGCGGGGTGGTGGGGGGGCGTTCCCAGTACACATCGCTAAACTAGGTCCCACTCAACCCAGTTCTGCCAACGCCCAGAAGGCTCCCTGGGAGAGTGGAGGAGGTCCACTCTGGCACGGGCTTTTCGTTATGGTGATGGTCACCGCCCACCAAACCACCCCAACCCAACCCGAAGGGCTCGATTTGCCCTCCACTTCCAGCGTGGGGGGGGGGTCGGGGAACACTGACAAAAATGCACATGGAACCCGTACCCCCCCCAACCCGAAATTCGGGTCTTCGGGTTGGGTTGGGGTGGTCTGGTACAGTCGGGGTCCTGAAGAAGGAACCCTTTCCGTTGGGGAGGGGCTCCGTGTTCCTTAATTGTTTCGCAGCTTGCCTTGGATTTTCTTTACATTTTCGATACGGAATCGAAGTTCAACTCATGGAAAAAAGGGGCCTCGTTCCTTATTTAGGGTTCCTTAGGTCAACGCCTCGACTGTAGTCAGATGGCATGACGTCGGCGCCTTCTCTGCACGGGCACGCGGAGGCGATGCAGGCAGAGGCGAGTCACCAGCATATGCTGCCTGCGCGCGCGGCCCACAGGTCACCCTCGAGTACAGGGAGGAGTCCGACGGTTCTGTAGTCCCCGCTCGGATTCACAGCGTCGTGGCGGGGGGCCTCGGGATATGGGGAGGGGCTAGAGAGAGAGAGAGAGAGAGAGGGAGAGAGAGGGAGAGAAAGAGAGAGAGAGAAAGAGAGAGAGAGAGAGAGAGAGAGAGAGCGAGACCCAGAAGCTACCTGCACGTCCCACGGTGCGTGGCGACACGAGACCCCCCTTTACGGCATCCAGGCCTTCTTGGGCGGGTCGCACTGGGATGCCTCCGACGACCCTGACCCCCCTCGATTCTTCCCCTCCCAGTGGGGGGGTTTGGAGGGGTTGGGGTTGGGCTGGACCTAAACGCTGTTTTGCTGGTCTTCGGCTGTGCTTTGTTTTTCGTTTTGGCAGGGGGGTACAAGAAAACATGTCGAGCAAAACGAACAACAAACGACAACAAAACGGAAAGCAACGTTCAGGTCCAGCAACGGTGGGGTGGGGCTTGGAGAAGCGTCTCTTTCGACGGAAGGAGTACGATGGCCATGTCGAGAGACCTCGTCGAGCCGATCTTGGTCATGGTCCACGCCCGCCGTCGCCGATTCACGAGCATGATCCACTGACTGACGATGACCAAGATGGACGATGCCCAAGATCGACGCCGACGTTTCTGCGTTCAGTCTCAAGTCGTGGTCCTCGTGCTCTCTCCCTCCGCTCCTGCCCTTCTTCCCTCCTCCTGCCCCTTTCTGCCTTCCCTCGTCGTTCTCCTGCCTCCCACCTGCTCCCGCGCCCTGCTGCTGCTGCTGCTGCCCAGCTGCGGACTTCTCCCTGTGCGTCTCTTCTCTTGATGAAGAGGAGGAGGAGGAGGAGGAGGAGGAGGAGGAGGAGGAGGAGGAGGAGGAGGAGGAGGAGGAGGAGGAGGAGGAGGAGGAGGAGGAGGAGGAGGAGGAGGAGGAGGAGGATCGCACGCCACTGAGGGGAAAGGGGAAGGTGTTCGACGGTCCAAAAAGCCCAGGGGGGCCCATCGGAGTGGGCCTTTATGTCACCCTGGCACGAAGGGCAAGGACCTGCCAGGGGCCAACGACAGGCCCCCCCCTGGGTATCAACCGACTGCCTCAGCGTCCTCCAGATCATTGTCTGGGGTACGTTCTTGCAGCTTGGGTCCCAACTCGGCCGCTTCGGACTCGTTCAGCCCAAAGGCTTAGAGGACCTCTGCCAGGCACACAATTGCATCGCGGCCCGCTTCGGGCCTTAAGAACTGCCTTCTCTCTGCTGGGCCGACTTGGGCTCCTCTTTTCCCCCAGCCAGCTCTCGCGCCCAGGCCCCAAGAGTTCTCCAAGGGCCCAGCCTGAGAGGTCTGCTGGGGTGTTTCCCTTTGAAGACCGCCCTCGGGTTCTTCCTGCCAAGGTCCACCAGGGCATGTTGGGAGCCCTCGCAGCCCCGCCTGAGGCCCCGAGATCCCGCCGACACCGTGGCGTAGGCCCCACAGGTCGAGCAAACGAGGGTCGGCGGGTGCCCTTCAGTCGTGATCGAGATCTCAAGCAGGGCATCTCCGCTTATGAAGGCAGGAGACTACTGGGCTTCAAAAGCTTGTGCCACCAGTTCTGGCGCCAGGGGCTCTGGGGGAGGACGCGAGGGCGAGGGGGGGTCTTGGGAAGGGAATGCAGTAGCAACGGCAGTCCTCTCCCCCCCTCCTCTCCAGACCTCCTCCGAACCTCTGCAAGCGCCCCCTCCGTCTCCGATCCCCCTTCCAGGGAGATCATCGTGAGCACCTGGGCCCCTGCATTGTCGCACTGACCCACGTCAGAATAGTGGGTCTCTGCTTATGTATTGGAGTAGCATACGCGGCACATGGGGCACTCCTTTGGCCATCATGACTTCATTGTTCGGGCATCTGCACAGCTCAGCTCCCGCCTTCGCAAGCCTATCAGCTTGCTCATTGTCCTCCCTCTCGAAAAGGTTGATCCGTCCTTCTCGAACGTCCGCCATGGAGGTGTGGGCTGCAATCCTACAGAACTCCACAAGCTCAGGCCTCACCGTCCCTAGCTACCTGGTCGGGGCCCGACTGCGGGGGGGCCGCTCCATGCCACCCCGCTAAGGGTCGGTACTCGTGTTCGTAGATTGCCACTCCCCAATCAGCAACTAATGACGGAAGCAGCCTATCCACTCCTGAGCCACCGCAAAAAAACATGGTCCTCGTCCAACGCCAGGGACGGCGCCAGCCTTTCAACCTTGAACTCCCGCACTGGGTTCCACCCAGGGCGGGAGAACGCTCGGCAGGGGTCCGGCAGGATCCCTTCAGAAAAACGGTCTTGCAAATGCTCGGGCCCAGCTTGCAAGCGTCTAGCCGAGGATACAAGGTCCCGTGAGAGGAAATCCCTCCTCCACGCTTGGCGGGCTGGGCATTGAAAGTGACGATGGAACAGACTGCCTCTAGCATCACTGCAAATGAGGCACTGCGCTGGCAACTGAGTGTCATGCTCGTGCAGCCTTGCTTGGCACCAATGCGAGCCAATGACTCTGGGGAGGCCACCTCCCCCGATCCATGGATTTGGCGACGCGCGCCAAGTCCATGGATCGCTAATCCATGTTTGCGCGCCCCCGAGATAGGGGCCCGATAACCCCAACTTGTCCAGGAGGGTGCGGGTTCGCTATCGGGGGCCCTATCGCCGATCTATCGGCGATGTATCGCCGGTTCCAGGTCGATGCATCCCCCCTCCTATGCCTATCCCTCCCTATCGTTGCCCCTCAGTGCGGGGCCGCGGGGGGGGCTGCGGGGGGCAGGTGTCCGCCCAGTGCTCTTCCGACGTCAAGGCGGACAAGGCCGGGGTACGGACGATCGTAGTCGTCGTCGTCGTCGTCGTCGTCGTCGTCGTCGTCGTCGTCGTCGTCGTCGTCGTCGCCGTCGTCGTCGTCGTCGTCGTCGTCGTCGTCGTCGTCGTCGTCGTCGTCGTCGTCGTCGTCGTCGTCGTCGTCGTCGTCGTCGTCCGCCCCCTCCTTGGCGCCGCCGAGGGCGCCGCCGAGGCCCCCCCGCGGGTTCCGCGGGCGCCGCCGCGCCCTGCGGCGGCGGCGGGGCTCCGGGCGGCGCGGCGGGCGGCGGCGGCGGCGGCTCGGCGGCGCCGGGCGAGGCTGGAGTCGGGCACGTCCCTCGACAGTCGGCCCGGATCAGCAGGTCGACCCTGCCAGCTCAAGCAGGCCAGCCACAATTGGGGGAGCTGTGGTCCTTACCCCCCTGGGGGACCCATCGATTTCGACACCCCTCTCGAGAGATCGTCGATGCGATGGGTTCCCCCAGGGGGGTAAGGTAAGGACCACAGTTCCCCCAGTTATGGCTGGTCGGTCAAGGGTACCCTTGTGTCCTGTGCCTCGCGACGCGTGCCTTCTTGCGCTCCTGTGGCGATGTGGCCCTCGGAAGGGTCTCGTGTCCACCCGCGCGTCCTGTCCAATCAAGGCCAACTGCACAGGAGGAATATCCGAGGCGGGAATCTATGCATGACCACCGCCCGGAGGATCGATTTCGGGGATGGCAGGCGGTGGATATGGGCATATTCGGACCCCCGGGGGCCAAAATAGATCCATGTCCACCGCCCGCTCGGGCACCAGGACGTCGGTTCCCAGGCTGTGGATATGGATAAATCCCAGAATATTGAAAGATAGTCCAAAATTAGTCGGGGGACGATTTGCTTTCAGCATTTTCGGGCAATGTTTGAACATTTGTGGATTTTAAGATATTTTTTTGATATTTCGTCCAAAATCCGCCTGCAGGGGGACGTGCCCGACCTGAGGCAAGACCAGGCGGACAAGGTCGCGAAGATCGGAATGGGTACAGAAAGAATGGGTACAGAGACCGACAGCAGCTTCTGTTCATTTTGAGCAGGACTTGCTGTCGGTGTCGCCGCGGGCTGTGTCCATTTGGGGCAGGGGTGGCCGCCTGCCCAACAGCGGCCGCTGTCTGTTTGGGACAGCATCTGTTGTTGGGCACTGTACCCCTTTTTCCCCAACCCATTCGCGGCGTCCAAAGCGGGGGACCGGAGATCGGCTGCGGCCCGGACAGAGGCGTTGGATCGAGGTCGGCTCGGGGAGGGTGCCCTGATGTTCTTCGTGCCCGTCGGGTGTTCTTGTGCAACATGGGGGAGGGTGCCCTTACATGTTCTTCAGCTTGGCCGGGCACTCGGGCGGCGAGATCCGCGGCGATGCACGCCGCTGGACGCGGGCTGCCTGCCCGTGCGAGCGGCACATGCGATCGACCCCGCGCCGCTCGAGGTCTGCCGCCGCCCGCGCGCGCCGCCCGCCGCCGCCGGAGTCGAGGCGGAGGCTCTTCGCCGCTTCCGCCCTCCCCCAGGCCCCTCGCCATTCACCAGGCCCCGGGGCGCCGGGGGATCGGAGATCGGCTACCCTCGGGCGGGTGGTAATCGGGGGGGGCACACGGGGCCCTGCAGGGGGCCCTGCAGGGCCCCTTGTTGGGCCCCTGCTGGCTGGGAGAGGGGCCCGAGGAGCTCCTCGAGGGCCCTTGCCTTCACCCCCCGATGCAGGTCACCCCCCCATTGTCACCCGCCCGATACTCGTAGGAGTGGCCTCAAGGGGTTGATGCGGGCTCAAAGGGTTGGCCATAGCACTGGCCCGTGTGCTGGCCCCCGAAGGCCGCGCACCAAAGGTCACTATTGCCCAGGATCACTCTCGCGTGTATGCGCGGGGAGAGGAGGGGGGGGGCGTGGCCGGGAGGGGGGGGCGGGCCGGGGTGCTGGGGGGCTGGTGGAGGGGTGGGGAATGACAGGGAGGGGGGGGAGGGGGAGGAGGAGGGGGACCAGGAGGAGGAGAGGTGGAGGAGGAGGAGTGGGGGGATGATGATAATGATGATGGTGGTGGTGGTGGTGGTGATGGTGATGATGATGATGATGATGATGATGATGATGATGATGATGATGAGGCTGATGATGATGCTGATGATGATGCTGATGATGCTGATGATGATGCTGCTGATGATGATGCTGATGCTGATGATGATGATGATGAGGATGATGATGATGATGCTGATGATGATGATGATGATGATGCTGATGCTGATGCTGATGCTGCTGCTGATGCTGATGATGTTGATGATGATGATGCTGATGATGATGCTGATGATGCTGATGATGATGCTGATGCTGATGATGCTGGTGCTGCTGCTGCTGCTGATGATGATGATGATCATGATGATGATGCTGATGCTGATGATGATGATGATGATGATGATGCTGATGATGATGATGATGATGAGTATGATGCTGATGATGCTGATGATGCTGATGCTGATGCTGCTGCTGATGATGATGATGATGATGATATGATTATGATGATGAGTATGTTATTATTATGATGATGATGCTGATGATCATGATGATGATGATGATGCTGATGATGATGATGATGATGATGATGATGATGATGAGGATGACGATGCTGATGATGATGACGATGACGATGATGATGCTGATGATGATGCTGATGATGATGATGCTGCTGATGATGATGAGCAAATGATGATGATGATGCTGATGCTGATGATGCTGGTGATGCTGATGATGATGCTGCTGCTGATGATGCTGGTGATGATGATGATGTTGATGATGATGATGATGCTGATGATGATGCTGATGATGAAGACGATGATGATGATGATGAGACCGACGATGATGCTGATGATGATTGAATGAAGAATATTATGATGATGATGATGATGATGATGATGATGATGATGATGATGATGATGATGATGATGATGATGGTGATGGTGATGTGATGGTGATGGTGATGGTGATGGTGATGGTGATGGTGATGGTGATGGTGATGGTGATGATGATGAGGAGGAGAAGGAGGAGGAGGAGGAGGAGGAGGAGGAGGAGGAGGAGGAGGAGGAGGAGGCGGATGAGGCGGAGGAGAGAGAAGGGAGGAGGCGGCGGTGGAGTCGGGGGGGAGGAGGAGGAAGAGGAGTAGGACGGCGATTCCACACAAAATTTCAGCGCACCCATTACACGCTTCGTGGCGCCATGGGGAGCTCCACCGACGGCCCCAGTGTCAGCGCCCGCATGCGGTTCCGCCCACATTTTAGCGCACCCCAAACGTTTCGTGGCCCCACAGGGAACTCCACCGGAGGCCCCAGTGGCAACACCTGCATGCGGTTCCACCCCCCGCTGTCGGCGCACCTCTCACACGCTTCGTGACCCCACAGGGAGCTCCACCGACGGCCCCAGTGGCAGCGCCCGCATGCGGTTCCACCCTGCATTTCGGCGCACCCCGCACGCATTTCGCGGTCCCATCGGGAACTCGACCGAAGGCCCCAGTGGCAGCGCCCGTACGCGGTTCTCCCCCCAAGTTCGGCGCACCCCTCACACGTCCTCATAGTGAGCTCCTGCGAGGGCCCCAGTGGCAGCGCCCGCGTGCGGTTTCACGCTGCACTTCGGCGCACCCGCACACGATTCGTGGTCCCATAGGAAGCTCCACCGGAATCCCCAGTGGCAACACCCGCGTGCGGTTCCACCCCCACTGTCGGCGCCCCCCTCACACGTTTCGTGGCCCCAGGAGGAGCTCCACCGACGGCCCCAGTGGCAGCGCCCGCATGCGGTTCCATCCCCAATGTTGGCGCACCCCTCACACGTTTCGTGGCCCCACAGGGAGCTTCACCGACGGCTCCACTGGCGGCCCCCGCATGGCGTACCCGTGCCCATTTTGGCACACCCGTCACACGCGCCGTGTCCTCATAGGAAGGTTCACCGAGGACGATACCCACAACTGCGTTACTCACAACTGCACACGGTTGGGTCCTTCGCACAGTTAAGTTCCCAACCGTTCTGTAGTGTTGGGTTCTCGTTGTCGGATACGCATCGCCCCGCGTCTCTTTCCTCCTCTTCCTCCTCCTCCTCCTACTCTCCTTCTCCTCCTCCTCCTCCTCCTCCTCCTCCTCCTCCCACTCTCCTCCTCCTCCTCCTCCTTCTCCTCCTTATCCTTCTCCTCCTCCTTCTCCTCCTTGTCCTCCTCCTCGTCTTCGTCCTCCTGCTCCCCCCCCCCTCCTCCCCTCCTCTCCTCCCGCTTTCCGCCCCGGCTTCCGCCCTCGGCACTCGCACGTTTCGTGGCTCCACAGGGAGCACCAGAACAAGGCTGTCTTAAGTCGGGCCTGTTCCTCTACAGGAGGAAGATTTAGAATAGTCAGAAAATAATACGGGGACGATTTTTGTAAAAGTATGTATTTGCATATTGATTGAGCATTGTTTGACTGGTCTTAATTGTTCGCCCACAATCCGCCGGGAGGGGACACGCCCGACCTACCGGTTGTCTCTTAAGTCCGATCGCAACGGGAAGGGTCTTCGGGCCGACGCGGCCGTGTGCAGCGTTCTTTCTTACATCGCCGATATTGCTTTGTGTATCGAGTTCGGAAGGTTCCGTCTCTTCCCTGATCCTTTAGTGGGTGGTCTTTCATCCCGTCCATCAGCTCAGAGCATGCGTAGCGTATTTGAGCGATTGACTAAACATGTGTATCATACATAGGTGTGTACATGCACATGCACAGGCACTCGTGATGCATTTGTTCGGATGCATGCGTGCAAATATCTATGCACGGGAACATTCCGCACATCTTCACACACAAGTCACCTAGTGCCATTTGGATTGTAGCCCTGATGCCAACTTGCCCATTGAGGGCTCATGCGCCACAGTGACTGGGATCTCGCCAGCAATGGCGCAGCAACGCGCGACCAGCATACGCATTCCGATGCTTGTGGGCCGCGCCCCAAGCGCAGCGAGATTGGACGGCGCCCCTTTGACCAAACGTGTGTCGCGCCGATGCCAGCCAGGGCCTGGGCCAGCTCGGCAGGCGCGTTCCAAAAGGCGGCGCGAAGAGAGCCAACACACACAACAATGGCTTGGCAGAAACGAGCTGGCGACAGAGAGCAGCGGCTGACACATACGCATCATCGGGTGCTCTGTCACAGAAACGTCGCCTCGTGGCCCCAGTTCGTGGCCCCATTGGGAGCTCCCCCCGAGGCCCCAGCGGCAGGGTCTGCATGCCGCACCCATGTCGATACACTCCTCGCACCTCTCGTGGGCCCATGGGGAGCTCCACCGAAGACCCTTGTGGGCGGTTTCGCATGCTACCGCCGCACCCATTCTGGCACACCCCTCACACGTTTCATGGCCCTGTAGGGTGCTCCACCGAAGGCCCCAGTGGCTTCCCTGCCTTCGTCCCACCTGTCTTGCGGTACCCACACATGCATGTGGCTTGTGTCCTTCGCATTGATAACTTTTCACGTGGCGAGGTAGGTCTGGGCCCATCCCTTCTCGCAAGGTGGAGGGCGACCTGATGGAGCAGGCCTCCTCCCTCCGCCCTCGGCAGCCTTTCTCGCCCCTGGGGAGCAGCCATAGCCCTGGCCGGGGGTTGCTGAAGGTGTCCCTGGCGCAAGGGCCTTTCGAGCCATTTTGGAGCCCCTGGGGCCCAGGAGGGGTGCTCCGGAGGCCGTCTGGGCGGCCCCGGGAAAATCCTGGGGACATTTTGGATCGGGGGCACCTCTGGCAGCCCTGGACCCAGTCCTCGCGCTGAGCGGGGGGTTGGGGGGCGAGGCTCCACTACGGCGGTAGAGAGAAGGAGAGACACAGAGAGAGACACATAGAGAGAGACATATAGAGATAGACAGAGAGAGAGGCATATAGAGAGACAGAGAGACAGAGAGAGAGAGAGAGTGACAGATAGATAGAGAGAGAGACAGATATAGGGAGACAGAGGGAGAGAGAGAGGCAGAGACAGTTGCTGTGGGCATCTTGCAGTTGGGGCCAGAAGATGCGCTGGCAGACTCGACACCGCTTCCGTCTGAGAGGCAGGCACGCTTCGGTTCTCGACAGTCCACGAATCGTTACTTGTGCGCTTCTGCCATCAGTCAGCACATCGCACCTGGGCGTTTTTCTTATATATATATATATATATATATATCTATGTTTTTAGTGTTTTATTTTTTAGTATTATCTGTATTATTATTATTGTTATTATTATTGTTATTAAATATATGCTATTCATATTTACTCATATGTATATACATATTATTTTGCTGTTGCTGCTGCTGCTGTTGTTGTTGTTGTTGTTGCTGTTGCTGTTGCTGTTGCTGCTGCTGCTGCTGATGTTGCTGCTTCTGCTGCTGCTGCTGCTGCTGCTGCTGTTGTTGTTGTTGTTGTTGTTGTTGTTGTTGTTGTTGTTGTTGAACATTATTACTTCTAAAGAATAATTATTGTTGGGGCCCCTGGTGCGCGACCCCCCTCCAAAACCTAGGCCGCAGCTACATTTTCATCATTTTTTAGCGAAAGCTTCAGAAAAGTGAATTATTACCGGATCCGGTTGTTTTGTTGTACTCCGTTTTCCCTTGCAAAAAACACTATAAAATGAAAATTCTTGTTCTTACTTGATCAAATTGCAAGAATCCCTTGCAAAAAATAAGGTAAAGTGGACATTCGTGCGCGCAAGACGAAATCCTTCCAAAACCTTAGGTTTCGTAACGATTTTAACATAAAAACATCAAAAACCCAATGGTTTTTTAAGAAAAAATTGTCAAAATGTCCTTCCGCGCGCGCTGTCCGAATCCCACAAAACCAATGGTTTTTCAACATTTATGTTACATGAGCTCGCGCGAGCTACTTTTTCTTGTTCTAACATAATCAAATTTCAATAATCCCTTGCAAAAAATAAGGTAAAGTGGACATTCGCGCGCGCAAGACGAAATCCTTCCAGAACCTTAGGTTTCGTAACGATTTCAACATAAAAACATCAAAAACCCAATGGTTTTTCAAAAAAAAATGTCCAAATTTCATCCCGCGCGCGCTGTCCGACTCCCACAAAACCAATGGTTTTTCAACATTTATGTTACATGAGCTCGCGCGAGCTACTTTTTCTTGTTCTAACATAATCAAATTTCAATACTCCCTTGCAAAAAAAAAGTAAAGTGGACATTCGCGCGCGCAAGACCAACAAAAAACACGACGATCTCAGGAACTTGCCCCAAAAATGTGACCAACTCCGCTCTCTCTGTCTCTCTCTCTGTCTGCTCTCTGTCTCTCTCTCTGTCTGTCTGTGTCATGTATTGTATGTCACAATTGCAGGATGCTGGGCACACGCGCGCCCCGAATAAGTGACCAAGTTCTGTGGGTGTGTACCCCACGCCAGTGTAGTAGCCACGGTCGTCCGCACGCCACGAAGTGAAGTGTCCCAACGTCATAGGGCGGGAAGCTGGGTTTGGGTGGTCGCGAAGAGTCGTTTGGATATTTGGTAGAGCTTGAACTGCCCCCCACGAAGTGGGGGTATTGTCTCGCGTCGCATGAAAACCCTGGCACTGGTGAGAACACTGAGCGTTCGGGTAAAATGATTGTTGTTGTTGTTGTTGTTGTTGTTGTTGTTGTTGTTGTTGTTGTTTCGGAGGTTCTTTGAGGCCTCGGACGTCGTCGTGGCTGCTCGGAGGTCGTGCCGCCTCGGGATGCCCTCGGCAGCTGCGCCTCGTCGATGGCGCTCCGGGGGGTGCCCGAGCCGTGCCCGGTACTCATTCGGCCGTCGGAGGCGCCGAGATCAGGCGCGAGAGGGCCCCCTCGCGCCAGGAAAAGCTCGACGACGGAAGGTTCAGGTCGGGCACATCCCTCCACAGGAGGAACATTGAAAGATACAGTCAAAGGTCTGAATGTCTCACTTTTTTTTTTTTTTTTTTTTTTTTTTGTTTTTGTTTTTTTGTTTTTTTTAATTTTTCGTCCCAGGTCCGCCTGTAGGGGGACACGCCCGACCTAACAGGAGGTCTTTGGCAGGATTCGGTTCCCCAGGACCCTGGCTGGGCCCTGTCAGACGAAGCCAGCACAAGGATAACAAATCGGGTGAGGATAGTTAGGTCGTGAATCTCTGAGGCCTTTCTGCTCTTGATGATGTCTCGGGTGCCGCGGCCTTCTCAGAGCGTTCCTGAAGCTCTGAGAGCGTCCCGGAACGCCCTGGAACGGATTATCTTCGTCCTAGCCCCGTCCTACTTTGGGGCCGTCAGAAAACGACTCATGGATGTAAAGCGGCTCCCCGGGAAGGGGTTCAGGTCTGTTGGAGCCACGTTGGCGACGGAAGGGAAACGGAGTCGATATCGCGGACAGTCCCGGGTGAGCTTCCCGCGTACGGTCGCCCGCCGCGCTGGCGGCCCGCGTAAGCCACCGCGTAGGGTCGATATGTCATCGTTTCATCGTGCGTAAGATATCATTTCGTCGCTCACGCTGTGAAGCAGTCACGGCGTGGGATGCCTGGGCTGGTGGGGGGTCGCCTTCCGCCCGCTTCTGGGGTGCCCGCTCCTGTGCAGCCGCGGTCCTGGTTTTGCCAGTTCGCCCTTCCTCTGGCGTGTACCCGCCGGAAGTCCCCCCGCGTCCCGGCCCCTGAGATGCCTCTCCTTCTCGTTTCTACTCTTAAGTCGGGCGTGTCCCTCTACAGGAGGAGTATTCATAAATAGCCCCAAAATGTTCGGAGGACGATTTTCCGACCATTTTCAAAACCATTTCTGAGTACTTTTCATTTTTCGCCCAATATCCGCCTGTAGGACGACATGCCCGACCTAATCCTCCTCCTCCTCCTCCTCCTCCTCTTCCTCCTCCTCTCGCTTCTGCCCTGCAGCCGGATTCCTTCAGCCCGGGCGTGCTGTGGCCTGCGCGGGTCCCGCCTGCAGAGTCGGGCGAATGGCTGCAGCCGGGCTGCCAATCGGGTGTCTGCCTATCGTTTTGTTGGCCACTAAGTTCCGTTGAGGAGCTTCACGAATTTCCGTGCACACGCAATTAATTTGCTGCGTTTTTTTTGCGTGTCCCGGAGAGCTCCCAATTGAGCATTCTTCTCGCCAACGCGTCCTGCCAGATGCTAGGCTTCAGTTAGTCAGTCAGAGGAGCTTTAGACACCCTAGCGTTTCCGTTTCATGCCATTTCTGCTTTTCTGCCGCTGTCGCTGGTCCTTCTCCTTCTCCTCAGGGTCCAGTTCGATCCGATCGATCCGATTCAATATCGAGTCCGACCAGCCCGATCCGATCCGACTCCGATGTTCCGCCGATCCGATTCGGCCCAATGCTTGCGTGTGCATCCTGCCGCAGTCGATCCGGCTCGATGTCGACTCCGTGCCGATGCAGCCCGATCTGACGCGCAGTCTCGATGCTGATTGATCTTGCCTTTTGTACCCTGCTGACCATCCTCATATTTATCATCCTGCTGGTGCTGCTCCTCCTCACGCTCTCGCTTCTCGAAAGCTCCACTGAGTCTTTCTGCAGACGGACTTCCTCCTCTGAGCGCCCTGCCCTCCCCATCCGTCCTCCCTGCAGCTCGTCTTCCCCACCTTCCCTCCTGCCCTCCAGTGTACCTCCCTGCTCCGCCCTGCACCCAGCACTGGAGAGGAGCAGGAGAAAGAGGCGGCGGATGATGATCCTGATGCTGCTGCTGATGATGATGATGATGATGATGATTATTGTGATGATGATGACTCTGATGATGATAATGCTGCTGCTGATGCTGAAGATGCTGCTGATGATGATGCTGATGATAATGATGGTGATGATGGTGACGATGATGATGCTGCTGATGCTGATGATGCTGCTGCTGATGATGTTGATGATGCTGAGGATGATGGTGATGATGGTGACGATGGTGATGAGGATGATGCTGATGATGAAGCTGATGATGACGACGATGATGATGCTGCTGATGATGGTGATGATGATGATGCTGCTGATGATGATGATGATCATGCTGCTGCTGATGATGATGATGCTGATGATGATGCTGCTGCTGATGCTGCTGCTGCTGCTGATGATGATGATGATGATGTGGCTGCGCTGCTGCTGCTGCTTGCTGCTACTGATGATGCTGATGATGATGATGAAGATGATGAGGAGGGGGATGAGGAGGAGAAGGCGGAGGAGGAGGAGGAGGAAGGGGATGGTGGTGAGATGGTGGTGACGATGCTGAGGAGAAGGATGCTGATGCTGCTGCTGCTGCTGATGATGATGATGATGATGATGATGATGATGATGCTGCTGATGATGATGATGCTGATGCTGATGATGCTGATGATGATGATGCTGCTGCTGATGATGATGCTGATGATGCTGATGATGATGCTGATGATGATGCTGATGATGATGATGATGATGATGATGATGATGATGATGATGATGATGATGATGATGATGATGATGATGATGATGATGATGATGATGATGATGTTGATGATGATGATGATGATGATGATGATGATGGTGATGATGATGATGATGATGATGATGATGAGGAGGAGGAGGAGGAGGCGGAGAGGAAGGGCACGGATTCTGTCTTGCCTGCCCTCCAAAGACATTCTTTGGAGGCCTCCTGGGGCATCTGGAGACTACTTGATCGCTTCGACGTCGTCGTCGCACGCGTCGTCATCGTTGTCGTCGTCCCCTTCCTCCTGTTCTTTGGCTGGTTATGGCATCGTGGCGTACCCCTTCGCATCAGCTGGGACGCGTGCAATCTCATTGGCGCGTGCTTCCTTCAGCCTTATACCCGAGTTGTTTGGCGTGTTCCGTTGGCAGGCGGAACTTCCACACCATCTGATGATTGTTATAAACGCATTCGGGGAGGGAGAGAAAGTGACCGCTAGTGGCACCTGCGTCATAACGACCAGGAACGAGAGCATGAAGCAAGGAATGCTTCGATCTTCTCCCTCTCCTCCCCTCCCAGCTTCTCTCCGCCTTCTGTTCCCCTCTACGGCTTTCTTCTCTCTTATCTTATCCTCTCTCCTCTTCCTCTCTCTCTTCTCTCCGCTCTTTCCTGACCTGCCTTGCTATCCTATGCTTCGCTCTCCTCTGCCCTACTCTCTGCTTTTCTTCCTCCTCCGCTTTCGTCTGATCTCCTCCATTCTCCCTCCTCTCCTCTCCTTCTCTCCGCCCTCCTCTTCTCTCTTCCGCTCTCCTCTCTCCTCTCTCTTTTCTCCTCTGCCCTCCCTCATTCTTCTGTCCTCTCCCATCTCATGTGCTTTCTCTCCTCTCCTCTCTGCTCTCCACTCTCGTTTCTTTTCTTCCCCTCCCTCCCTCCCTCCCTCCCCCACGACGTCCTTTGGGGTCATTCGTTTCTGCGCGTGAGTCTGCACATGCCTCCGAGTTCGCCAGGACGCCCTCCAAGAGGCCCACAAGATGCCCCAAGAGGCCCCAAGGAGACCCACGAGAGCCCCCCCCCAGGATATTGCCAGGTGGCCCCCAAACAGACCTTCAAGAGGCGCCCCAAGAGACCTCAAGAGACATATTAATTTCTATCCTCTCGGCTCATTTCCTCTTGGATCACCTTTCCTCTCCTCTCTTCTCTCTCCCGTCACCTCTCTCCTCTCTTCCCCTTTCTCCTCTCGTCTCTTCCGCTCACCTCGCTCTTCCTGATCCTCTTACTCTCTCCTCGCCTCTCCCTCCCTTCCCTTCCCTTCCTCACCTCTTCTCTCCACTCCTTTCCTCTCCTCTCCCGTCATCGTATTGTCTCCTCTCCTCTCCTCTTGCCCTCTTTTCTCCTCCTCTCTTCTGGAGGTCTGGACCTCTTCCTGGGGACAGTTTCTTCCATCCCCAGCCACTCTTCGAGGGTCCCGAGGCCTGGCGAGGGCCCCCCAGAGGCCGAGAACGGCCAACATCCTCCCGCTGTGATCTCCCCACGGCGCGAGGCTGTCAGGGCCCTTCCCCGGTATCCTCGCCCCCCCCTCCCTCGGCGGGCGCCATCTATACACCTGCACCGATCCTTGCCAGGCCGATCCTGGGCCCAGGATCGGTGGATAGACCTGCCTGGCCAAGCCAGGAGGGCGTACCCGCACAGTAAGCATGAGCAACTCTCCAAGGTTACCCCTTGCGTCCTTCCCCTTCGGCCTATCCCTGGCCGCTCTCGCTGGCCGCGCCCCGCTCGCAGAGTGCAGACATGGCCTTCCAAGGTCCTTGCATCCTCATCGTGCGTCCTTATTCTACGGGTTCACTGTATGCACATGCCCTGGGCCCAGGACTGGCTCGGCCAGGGCTGGTGAAGACATGTTATCGTTGGCGCCCTCCTGCTCCACCTTTCCCCGCCGCTCTCGCCGCCGCCCCCCCCCTCTCTCCCTCCCCTTCTCTCCCCCCTTTCTCCTCCTCCTCCTCCTCCTCCTCCTCCTCCCTCCTTCTCCTCCCTGCTCCTCCTCCTCCTCCTCCTCCTCCCTCCTCTCTCTCTACCTCCTCCTCCTCCTCCTCCTCCTCCTCCTCTCCCTCTGCTTCCTGTAAGTAATCGAACCATTTACTGGCAAGTGCCCCTGTCTCGTCCCTCTCCCTCTCCCTCTCCTCCTGCTCCTCCTCCTCCTGCTGCTGCTGCTGCTGCTGCTGCCTCCTCCTCCTCCTCCTCCTCCTCCTCTCTTCCTCCTCCTCCTCCTCCCTGCTGCTCCTCCTCCTCCTCCTCCTCCTCCTCCTCCTCCTCCTCCTCCTCCTCCTCCTCCTCCTCCTCCTCCTCCTCCCCCTCCCCTCCTCCCCCTTCCCCTTCCCTCTCCCTCCCGTCGCCGCCTCTCCTGCCGCCGCCGCTCCCCTTTGCCGTTCTCCCCCCCGCCCGGCGACAGGTGGTCCGACCGACGCTGCCCGAGGGTCTCTGCGACGCCAAGACGCAGTACTCCTTCCCGGCCCCTCGGGGGGGACAAATGAATCAAGTGTCCGCCGCCCGCTGCTCCCCTCCTCCCCCCCGTCCGCCCTCCTCCCCCTCCTCCTCCTCCTCCTCCTCCTCCTCCTCCTCCTCCTCCTCCACTCCCTCCGGCCCCCTCCTTCCTGCTGCTGCTCCGCCTCCATCTCCTCCTCCACCTCCTCTCTCCTCCCTGCTTCTCCTCCTCCTCCCCCTGCTCCGCGAGCCTCCTCCTCCTCTTCCTCCTCCTCCTCCTCCTCATCCTCATCGATCATCTCTTCCCTCCATGTCCCAGACAGGAGGCAAAGAAGCGACACTCGAGTCCTGGCAGGATCAGATGGGGTCGGAGGCTTGCGCCGCACCGCCAGTGCAATGCATGTGCGATGCGGCACCATCCAGAGCAAAGTTTTCTCCACCCGGAGGTCGCCGATGCATCGCGGATGCCATGTCCCCTGGAGGTGCGGCCAGGGCACCTGGACATAAGGAGGAGGCGGAGGAGCAGGAGAAGGAGGAGGACGGCCTGGCTGGCCTATACTCAGCCCTTGTGGGCCCGCTCTCTTTCTCTTCGCCTCTCGCGCCTCTTTTGCTTTCTGCTATGCCGGCCAGGCGTAATTTGTTGGCCTCATGTCCTGGGTCGGCACTGGCACTATTATCAAACGGACGCCACAGCCACGACGCTCACGCTCGCCCAACGTAAAAAGGAGGGGGGACAGGGTCATGAAGTCAGTGGAGAGGTAATGGATGGAGATTGGGGAATAGCCCCAGACATCTGGCGTCGTGCTTTTTCACGGCGCGGCTCCCCAGAGGTGCGGGTGCCAAGCATGTACACCACCACCACGTCCCGCCCCCCCCCTCCTCCAGCCTCTTCTTCCTCTCCTTCCTAGGAGAGGAAGCGGGCGAGGGAGGTTGTGGTGGGGTGTACTTTTCGGCCCCGCCAGAGGGCCCCTTCCCCGGCACCGATTCTTTTCATCCCGATCCGCCCGCGGACCCAGAAGTAACGGCCCTGGGGCCGGACAGGGGGCCCCCACGGGCCGACGACGTCTGACTCCGGTCCGCGGTGACGCCCTCACAGCGCGAGGACCCCGACAACCTCCGACCTATGATTTTTCGGGGGCGGCCAAGAGGGGGGTGATGACCAGGTGGGGGGGATGTCTCCCCAGATTTCATGGCGCCTCTTCTTCATTGCAATACGTCCCCGGTCCCACCCGCCGGGGCCGCGCAGACAACTTCCGGCACATGGGGCGTTCCAAAAAGGGCCTCGCCGTCGAGGATCGAAGGAGTTGTCGTCTCTTCCTCGGCGGAAGGCGGCGGGAGGCCAGCGGAAGGCGGCGGAAGTAAGACGAGGCAGCCCCCAAGAGGTGACAACGTTTTTGGGTTCAGGGTTTCCTGAATCCGCCATCTGATATTTCCGAACCATCTTGTCGGGTCCGCGTGTTGAAGGGACAGTGCCCCGCGTCCTCCTCTCCTCTCCTCCTCCTCCTCCTCCTCCTCCTCCTCCTCCTCCTCCTCCTCCTCCTCCTCCCCTCGTCCTTCCTCCTGCCACATCGCCTGTGCCCTCCGCGTGTTTCTGTTCCGGCACACCCCTCACACGTTTCGTGGCCCCATTGGGAGCTCCACCGAAGGCCCCAGCGTAGCGCCCGCACGGCACCACCGCGCTCAACTCGGCGCACCCCTCACACGTCTCGTGGCCCCACGGGGAGCTCGACCGAAGGCCCCAGCGGCAGCGCCCGCATGGCACCCACCCGTTTCGGCACGCCCCATGTACGTCTCGTGCCCCAGAGGGAGCTCCACCGAAGGCCCCAGTGGCAGCGCCCGCATGGCAGTACCGCACTCGCTTCGAGACACCCCTCACACGTTTCGTGGCCCCATCGGGAGCTCCAGCGAAGTCCAGAGTGGCAGCGCCCGCACGGCACCACCGCACCCGTCTCGGCACACCACTCACAAGTTTCATGTCCCCATCAGAAGCTCAACCGAACGCCCCAGTTGCAGCGCCCGCATGGCACCACCATACCCGTCTCGGCGCACCACTCGTGCGTTTCGTGGCTTTACAGGGAGCTCCACCAGAGGCCCGAGTGGCCGCGCCCGCATGGCGCCAACACACCCGCTTCGGCCCAAGCCTCACACGTTGCGTGGCCCCCCACAGTGCTTCATCGAACGCGGTCGGCACCGACAACGCGGGACTCACGACTGCACATGGTTGGGGTTTTCGCCCGGATCCTTTTCTACCCGCGGCCCCCGAGCCACCGACCCCTTTCCCTGGGGGGGTATCTCTTCGGCCCCCGGAATCCGGCCCTGAGGGTCCTGGGGCCTGGGAGCGGCCCCTCCCCGGGGGCTCGGGATCGAGGAACGCCGAGGCCGGGATGGACAAAGAGCTCTGCCGGCGGAGGATCGGGGCAGGGGCCATCCTGGGCGACGAGCGCAGCCGCATCCGCGGCCCTGCGGGCCGGGGCCCCTAAATAGGCCGCGACCCCGCGGGTGCGGGGCGCTTTGTCGCGGATGCCCCGCGCGGAGCTCGTCCGCGTCCGCGGGATGCGGCGCCCTGGAGTGCAGACCGCGAGGGCGCGGACACGGGGAGGTGCGCCGCCCGCGAGGCCCGGGCAGCGGGGTGCGGCAGCAGCGCGCGGGAGCCTCGCGCGTCCTCGGAGCTCCGTTGTCGCAGCGCGTCAGCGTGCGCCAGCGTCGGGTGCGGTGGTCTACGAGACAGCGCCAACTCGGCATCGATTGAGGTTGATTCAGCGTCGATTCGCAGGGGCCAACAAGATGGTACGGGAGGCTGAGAAGAAGAAGAAGTGGCCGGTTTAGCGGTACAAATGTAAGTGTTTCACCTTGGCCAGCCCCGCGGTACAAATTTAAGTGCTTCGCCTTGCCGTTTTAAAGGCTGTTTCAATGGAGGTGCAGTCTTTCGGTGCACAAAAACATGGTACGGGAGGCTCCCATGAATTGCCGCAGAGGGGTGGGGGAGGGGCCTCGACGGGCGACGCCCGCCCGAGACCCCCCCGCCCAGGCCCAGTTCGATCCGATCGATCCGATTGGATGCCGATTTCGGCCATCCCGATCCGCTTGGGTTCCAATGCTTGCGGATGAACACCTGACGTTCCGATGTTTGGAGAATGAGCCACAATTTTTTTGTGCTTCGCGCGGATTTCTTGGATCGACGCTCGCTCTCCTGGCGGCGCCTCCGGCGCTGCCCCTGGCGCGCTTCGCGCGCCAGGGAGGGGGTCCAGTGCCGATCCAAGAAGTCTGCGCGCGAACCTCCATAGGCTCCGTGTACGCCGCCTTTTGTTCCTCTGGGGATGCTGACGGTCCGATGCGGCCCGATGCTTGCACGGCGCTGTCGCCCATCCTGGCGCAGCCGATCCGATTCGGTGTCGATCCCGTGCCGAAGCGGTCCGATCCGACGCACCGTCCGAGCCGATCCGATTTCCCGACGCGGTGCGCACCAATCCTGCCCGAGATGGAGGGTTTCTCCGAAGGGCTCAGGCGACCCGTCCTCCTCCTCCTCCTCCTCCTCCTCCTCCTCCTCCTCCTCCTCCTCCTCTTCCTGCTCTTCCTCATCCCTCCCTCCCTCCCTCCCTCGCTTCTCCTCCTGCTCCTCCTCCTGCTCCTCCTCCTCCTGCTCCTTCTCCTGCTCCTCCTCCTCCTCCTCCTTCTCCTCGTCCTCCTCCTTCTCCTCCTGCTCCTCCTTCTGCTCCTCCTCCTCCACCTCCCGTGGGAAACCGTCCAGCCCGAGGACTACGCGCGGGTCGACGCTGGCCTGAGCGGCCGGAGAGCCGTGGCCGACACGTACGGCGGGTGGGGCTCCCACGGCGGCGCGGGCCTGTCGGGCCGCGACGCCTCCAGGGTCAGCCGCTGCGGCGCCTACGCCGCCAGGTGCTGTCGGCGCCCACAGGGACAGGGCTCATCTGCACGGTTTCCCCCGGGGCCATAGGCGATCCGAGGAGGAGGAGGAGGAGGAGGAGG